ACCAACTTCATTGATGACGAGGCCGGCCTGGTCACGTGCCTCGTTATAGTTCCGCTTGAACGTGGTGACGTATGACATGAGATCTTCCTTTGTGCGACGATAATCAAAGAACTCGTCAAGGCATATGCCGGCCTTATCTTGGTCATGTAATTCACGCAAGCTCTTCAAGTGGTCCAAGAAAAGGAGAAGACCGGCCTTCAGGACGAGCCTCCGTTGATCATCAAGGAATTGAGGCAGACACAACGCGTCCAGGCCCTTGACCTCGCAACGTGTGCCTGGATTGACGCACCGGAAGGATTGCGCTGCCTCGAACGCATCACCCTTCAATCGTGCTACATCTGCCGCCGCCATCGCCTCTGGGTTCTCTTTCAGACTCGTGATCTTGAACCACAAGTCCAAACGCTGAAGATACCTCTTGAGCGAGTAGTTCTTGGCGTTCGTCGGCAGCCAACCTGGGGGCAGTGTCTGCGTGAACTCCTCCAGGGGTAGCCCGATGTTTGGCGTAGCTGATGTCTGAGACATGTTCACGACGCGACCTACACACCTGTGATGTACTGGATGCTCGTGCACACGCTCACACTCACGCGCGCGATGCTCAATCCACCCGTGTTGAAGAGGATGAGATCTGTGATGAGGACGGGAAGGAAGGAGATGTAGAGGAAGTGGTAGAAGTAAAAGAGCAAGAAGCCACGTCGTCCCAGCTCGCGACGCCGAGCCGGGATGCGCCGAGCAGCCTCTTGTTGCCGAGCCAGGAGCCTGGCTGGCGCGGGGGGCAAACAAGAGCAAGAGAGGAAAACACACCAGCGGAGGCGCCATGGCGTGGTCGTAGGCCGGGGGCAGCCTAGCCGTGGAGCCGACTAGGCTCCGCTACCAAAGTCCGGAGGACGATGGTTTTGCAATGGCGGTGGTGCCTTGAGCCACCGTATGTTACGGAGGCCCTCTGTGCTCAACATCAGTCCACAACAGTTCTCATGACAATGCTAATGCCCTGATCTGAATTCTCACTAGGGGAGGGGAGGGGGCGGGGCGGGGAGGGGGAGGGAGGCACCCAGGAGGAGGGGAGCAGGCGAGAAGAAGGGAGGGCAGGGGGGATCGAGAGGGGGAGGGAGCTGCGAGGGAGGAAGGGGGGCGGGGAGGGGAGGGGAGGGGACTGCGAGGGGACTGCGAGGGGCTGCGAGACGGGGAGGGAGGGAGGGGCGAGGAAGGGGAGCGAGAGGCACCCGGGCGGAGGGGGGGAGGGAGGCGAGGAGGGAGGGCCGGGGATCGAGAAGGGGGGAGGGAGCTGCCGAGGGCTCAAGGCGAGAGCGCTTCCTCCGCGGACCGGGGACTCCCTGCGGGGAGCCACCGGCGGCCGCCGAGGAGGCGCGGCACCTCTGCCACACCCCTGTCGGAGGCCCTCCTTGCCCACTCCTCGTGGCCTGCCTCCTGTCCCCCCCCCCCCCTCCTCCTCAGCCTCCAGTTAACGGGCGAAGAACGGTATTCAATGCACTTTTTCGCTGTCGGGGGCGCCTGTCCCAGGGCGGCTGGAAAGTTCGTACCCCTACGGTGGACTTTCCAGCCGCCCTGGGACAGGCGCCCCCGACAGCAAAAAAAAATATGTTATACAGTTCTTCGCTCGCTGATCCAGTGATGTGACGTGTGTCACATCACATCGTCGGGTCCCAATGCTGGTCGCCGCGAGCCGCGTTCTGTCGCGCAAGGGGGGCAGGGGCAGGGTTCGCCTCCGGCCCCCTCCCTCCCCCTCAGAAGTCGTGGGGGGCAGGAGCAGGGTTCGCACCTGGCCCCCTAAACCTTCCCCGAGGCAGAGGGGGGGCAGGAGACATGCCCGTGGGAGCAAGAAGAGTGAGCAGGATGCCCGAGACCACCCCCCCTCAACCATCTGGGCGACGGAAAGCAGCGGGTCTCACGCGCGACGGCACATCGACCCTGCTCGACTGCTTCCGCGGGCCGCCAGCGCGGCACGCTGCGCTAGAGACGAGGGCGCGCACGCGCGGCTTTGCGCGGGCAGCTTACTGCGCGCGAGATGTCCGTGAGATCGAGCCCGCCTGCCTGCGTCGTTCGTCTGGATTCTGAGCCCCCTCCTCCTCCTCCTCCTCCTCCTCCTCCTCTCCTCCTCCTCCTCCTCCTCCTCCTCCTCCTCCTCCTCCTCCTCCTCCTCCTCCTCCTCCTCCTCCTCTCACTGGCGGGCAGTCTGCGGACGACTCTGAAGCCTCGGGAGGCCCCAGAGGATTCAGGAGGCCTCCAGAGGCACAAGAAGATCCACCAGCGTGCTGCGGTTAGCTCCGCCTACGCAGGATCATCCGAAGACGACCTTGAGACACCCAAAGAAAGACAAACTATGCGAGGTAGGCACTGGAACGAAGACAACAAAACGCAAAATTTGCCAACATGAATTCCTATGGTGGGAATGGGGGCTGGCCGATAAACTGAACTTTCCTCTTCGGGCAATCCCACGTATGCCCGCGCACCAATACCTGGAGACTTGAATGTAGGCACCAAGCAGGGGGAGTGCCTCCACTGGGGAAAGATGATCCTAGCTTCTGGTGCTGGTGGTAATGCTTCTGCCACCTAGGAAGCCCGTATACTGACACCATCACCGAGATCGGGATCTGCCTTCCCTCGGTGGATGCACACTGCCGATATTGGTGTTGGTGTCAACCTCTGGGCCTCCGAACTACTGCGTTGCTCCCGTCGGTCCTGCGCCTCCGACAGGCTCAAGTCGCTCGCCGGCCGGAAGAAGCTGGTAGCATGATAAAGTGGGAAGACATTGGAAGTAGATTGGGTCCCCGCCCGCCCGCTGAAGAGGAGGGAAGAGGGACAACTTACCAGCCTGGAACATATCCCTATCCCTATGCTGGGCACCTCCTCATCACGATGCCAATATTAGGGATTTCCTTATCTTTTGAGGGCGAATCCCTAAGATTGTCACCGCCTTTTGGCATGCCAATCTTAGGGATAGGGATACGTTCGAGGCTGGTAACAACCGATCGACCCTTGAAGTGGGAAGGAGCCTCAAGCAACTCGAGATCTGCATATCCAAGAGCACCTGCTTCCAACGATCAGGGGGACGTAAGACCTGGGTACAAGGGACTCGGAAATCCCCGACGAGGTCGTCAAAAAAATGACGCGGCCGAGCCTGCATTTTGACGAGGCCTCCCGCTGCAGACATCCCACGAAGCTCCTCCTCGTCAAAATCCGAGGCGCGGTCGTCAAAGAACGATGGCGAACCCGAGTCCTGGCAAACCCGGGTCTTACGCTCCCCCGAAACGACCGCCGTGCACCCTGGGGGGGCGGCGGGCGGGCCCCATCACCCGGGTCGTCGCCGGGCCCTCGGGCATACAGATCCCCTCCTCCCCCTCCTCCCCCCTCCTCCTCGGGGGAACAGGAGGAGGCCAGGGAGGGGGAGGGGGGACAGGGGGAACGGGGAGCAGGAGGAAGCCAGGGAGGGAGGGGAGAGGAGGAACGGGGAGAGCAGGACGCGCCCGAGACAGGACGGGATGGAGGCCCCAGCGCTGGCCGCTCCCTGCGACGGCGATCGCGCCCTTGCCGGGCAGCGCTGCCGCGCTTCACTGCGCCGCCGCGGCGCGCCACGCCCCCCATCCCCAGGCTCTCGTTCCCTGTCTTCCTCGTCCTGCCCCCCGCATCCTCCTCGTCCGCCTCCCTCCCCGTTCCTCGTCTCCCCTCCCTCCCTGGCTTCCTCCTGCTCCTCATCCGGTTCTTCACTCCTCCTTTCCCCCCTCCCTCCGCGCCGCTATTCATCCCCCTTCCCGTACTCTCCCTTCTCCTCCACCTCTTCCCCTGCTCCTCCCTCTCCTCCTCCACTCCTCCCTCCTCCTCCTCCTCCTCCTCCTCCTCCTCCTCCTCCTCCTCCTCCTCCTCCTCCTCCTCCCTCCTCCTCCTCCTCCTCCTCCTCCTCCTCTCCTCCTCTTCTCCTCTTCCCCTTCCATATTATTTCCCTGTACCCTGCTCCGCTCCCACGCCGTTCCACGTTCCTAGTCCTCATTATTCTTCTCCTCCTCCTCCTCCTCCTCATCCTCCTCCTCCTCCTCCTCCTCCTCCAGATCCTCTTCCTCCCGCTCATCCCACATTCCTTGCACTTCCCCTCCCACTCCTCATAGGGTTCTCTCGAGATACCAAACCTAATGAGGCTCGTGCTGCCCACGCAAATCATGCCTCATGCTTCATGGCTCATGAGGTACTCTGGAGCATTAACACCTCATACTCCAAGAGCTGGCGATCCCCATGCCCCCATCCACGTCAACCCCCTCTTCCACTATTGATTGCCCTTGTTTGCTATCCCAGCTGGAATATTGGGGCGATGCCTGTAGTGTCCATCCTCTCTCATCTCCCCCTCCTTCTCAACATCCCTCCCATGCGCCTTCCCTTCCCCCGCACCTGTCCCGCCCTGTCCTGCCTGATCATCGGTGCTCGCTCTTCCTCCCCCCACACACCCCTCCTACCCCACCCCCGCTCTTCCCCCGCCTCACTCACCAAGACCAACGGCCCCGAGGGGCCTGCCCCATCCACCCATCCTCGACCACTCCCCACCCCCAGCCCCTCGCCATCGCTCGGACGTCCATTCCCTGTGCTTTTTTCGGTTTCGTGCGTGTTTTTTTCGCCAGATGGTCAAGGATGCGCCTCGATGATCCTCGCCGAAGGAAAAATGCACACGTCCGAGCGATGCCAAGGCCCCGTCGTCATCGCCGAAGGCGCCGACCGAGCTCGCGAACGGGCACACCCGCTCGGCCGCGGCCCCCGTCTTCCAAACTCTCCTCTCGGCCCTCCTTCCTGCCGTCCCGCGGCATGCGCCTCCAAAACCCGCCCCCTCCCAAACTCTCGTCTCCGCCACCCGGCCGCACGAGAACACGAGCCGCCGCTTGGCGGCGGCGCACCCTGACTGCCCGGCGGATGCCCTACGGCCAGGAAAAAAAAGGCCGACTGGAGAAACGGCGAGGCATCCGCCAACACCTGCGGGCACGAGGTGGCGGCCGGACCCTCCGTCACCGGGCCACTTTGTACATGGCCTGCGCGGAGGGGGGCGACGAAGGGCGGAGCGGGGAAGGGGAGCGGCCAGGTGCAGAGTTGCAGAGCGAGGCAGAGCGGGCGATGGCGCTCCTTCCCCCGCATCCTGCCAGCGGGGCTATACCGCTTCCCCCCGTTTCCCTCCTCCCATTCTCTCAACCTGTCCACTGAGGCAACGGACGAGCTGGCGGATTGTGGGCCTGTCGCAACAGGGGTCCGCCCACTGAGACAGCGGCCGATCTCGTGGATTGCGGGGTGTCTGGCGCAACATGCATGGTCTCTCAGCTAGGTGGCTTGCTCTGGAAGGGTTCGGTGAGTTCTGATTGCCTCTTGAGGTTTCGGCGTGGGCATGAGCAGGAGAAGGACAAGGGGCAGAACAGTGGGGAGGGGGAAGCGGTGGACGACGAGGAGGGGGAGGAAGAGGAGGGGGTGGGAGGAGGAGGGGGTGGGAGGAGGAGGAGGAGGAGGAGGAGGAGGAGGAGGAAGAGGAGGAGGAGGTGGAGGAGGAGGAGGAGGAGGAGGAGGAGGGGTGGGAAGGGGGGAAAGGAAGGGAGGACGGGATTGGATGCGGAGGGGAAGCAGGGACGAGGAGAGGAAGAGGATTGGGAAGAGCAGGCACAGGCGCGCCTGCAGGAAGGACCTGCTGCTCTGCGCGCCGCTCAGGGCCTGCGGCCTCGGCGCGCACGCGCGGGCCGGGCGCGGCGGCGGCGTGGCGCCGCCGTGGCGAGGCTGACACCGCGAGCCCGTGTTGTCGACCCTGGCGTTGGCCCCTGACACCGCGGGGATCGTCCGACCTTGAACGATCGGCCGTTTCCTCCTCCTCCTCCTCCTCCTCCTCCTCCTCCTCCTCCTCCTCCTCCTTCCTCCGAAACGTCAGATCGTTCGACATCGGCCGATTCTGGGTCGCCGGCGGCGTTCAAGCGCCGCACGCCCGCGGCGGGGTCGCCGCCGGTCGACACGGCACGAACCCACCGCCTGCTCTCTGGGCGAGCGCCCCCACTGATGGGCCTGCTTTCCACCACCACCACCACCACCACCACCATAAGTTGGAGGGGGAGGGGGTCCTCCTCCTCCTCTCCTCCTCCTCCTCCTCCTCCTCCTCCTCCTCCTCCTCCTCCTCCTCCTCCTCCCCCTCCTCGTCCTCCACATCCTTCCCACCTCCAGCTGATGGTGGTGGTGGTGGAAAACAGGTCCGTCACCCGCACAGGCGGGCGGTCCGGAGCAGAGGGGCACCCCAACGGCACAGGCAGAGCCGCTGGGAGGTCCACGCGGAGCCCCCGAGGTCGGCGAGCGGAGCGCGCGGGGGGCTGCGCCGGAGGCGCCGTCGCGTGGGCACGGCGCAGGTCCCAGAACTCCGCGCGGGCCTTCGAAGCTGTACTGATGGGCCTGTTTTCCACCACAACCACCATAAGTTGGAGGGGGTAAGAAGGAGGAGGAGGAGGAGGAGGAGGAGGACGAGGAGGGAGGAGGACGAGGAGGTGGATGATGAGGAGGAGGAGGAGGTGGAAAAGAAGGAGGAGGACCCCCTCCCCCTACAAGTTCTATGGTGGTGGGTGTGGAAGACAGGCCCATAATGTATGTATACAGTGGAGATCAGTCCACAAGACACCTTCCACAAGCAACCAGACCCCAGGACGTCCATCGATTTGTTGATGCCACGCTTCCCATAGCAGAAGCATCGAAACCAAGAAGCCCCGGGCACCCAGGAGGCAAGCAGGGTGCGTCTTGGCATGGGCCCCCACTGTGAGCACAGCGAAGCCATGGGTGCGTCTTGCCATGGGCCGTTTCTGTTCTTCCAACAGGAGAAAGGTGATCAAGCGAAGCCGCCTCAGCTTCAGGGCCAGGACTGCGGTCTCGCCGGGTGTGCCAGGAGGGCATGCTGGGCTGAGACACCGCCTCGGGCGGCCCTGTGCTCAGGCCACATGTCGTATTGCCGCACGTCCTGGGCTCTTGGGCACGCCTGGTTCGGCAGTTTCGTCTCTGACACACGCACCGTCAGCGCGGGGCAGCAATCGCTCTCGGCAGCGACACCGGGGTCTGCAGCGTCGACACCATCGCCAGTGGCAGTGTCACCGTCAGTATCATCGCCCTTGACGTCGTCATCACTACCGTCACGATCACCATCACCATCCCTCCTCCTGGGAGGGGTTCGAAGTATACACCTGGCCGTGTCGTCGGCCTCGGGCCTCGGTGTGTAGACACACCAGCTTCCCAACCTGTGGGACGCCGAAGCGTATACATAATACTTCTATGCGCATCTGTATATATATATATATATGTATAAGCCAAAGTGGCTTCGCCGAGTTCCGTGGCCCCTTGGCCGACCAGACGACGTGGTATTTACAGCCCCCATCCGTCCCATCCTTCCCTCTTGCCACTGCCTGCGTGATGAGGTAGGGGCCTCACGCACCTCGGATTGCTGTTGCCCCAAACCAGCAGAGCATCTGGTGCGCTGGCCCAATCAGAGAAAGCGCGTATTGAAGAGGGGGATGGGGCTGACGGCCTACGAGGACGACAGAAGAAAGGACATGGGGAAGGATGAGGAGCATGAAGGGGAAGGAAATGAGGACGACGACGAGGCGAGGGATCGACGACGTGGACGAGCAGAAGGAGTAGCAGGGGGAGACAGGGTGATGCGGTCAACCCGCATAAGAAGGACGCACGATGAGGCTGCAAGGGCCTTGGAAGGCCACGTCGACACTCTGCGAGCGGGGCGCGGCCGGCGAAAGCGGCCAAGGATGGGCCAGAGGGGGAAGATGCCAGGGTGCCCTTGGAACATCGGGTTGGCTGTGCCTCGCCAGTGTGGGGTGTGACGCGAGGGCGGCGTCTGGGACAGCCCCGACAGCAAACCCAGCGGGCCCCGCGGCGGCCCAAGGGTCCTGGGCCCGGGGCCTCCGACGACCACCTGCTTCGAGCTCCCTCGGGCATATCCGAGGCCTCAGCCCCGGGCTCATTGCTGCATCTGCGACGTGGCACACACACACACACACGCCTTTCCGACATCGATCGCATGTCGCTCCACGCCGCCCCTCCACCCCTCTCTGCCTCCTCCTCCTCCTCGTGAAGGGGCTTGCCCTTGCCCGCGCAGCTGCTGTCTTCCCCCGCCGGCTCCTCTCCTGTGGCGTGGCCCCATGCAGGTGCTGGAGGGCGTACAACACATGAGCTCCCCTTGCAGCTTCCACAAGAAACCACGTGGCCATTGAAATCCCACCAGCCCTTTGGGCGTGAGTGGTTTAGAGAGCCCGCTCTGTTCTCAACCCCCTTCTTCCCCTTCGGGGAAGGGTTTACCCCTCCCCCTACCCCCTCCCCCTGGACCTGGAGAGGTCCTTTCGCGGGTGGTTGGAGGGGTCTTTTTCGACTCCTGGGAGGGCTAAAAAACGACACCCCTCACGAGGATTCTGGCCCCGACGGGGGGGGGAGAAAAAACCCGCCCCATCTGTGATCGATCGCCCGAAAGATGGCCCCAAGATACCTCCCAGACCCCTCCCAAAGAGCCCCAAGAGGCCCCAAGAGGCCTCCAAGAGGCCCCCAAGAGGCCCCCAAGAGGCTCCCAAGAGGCCCCAAGAGGCTCCCCCGAGGCACCCAAGACGCTCCTGGAAGCCCCTGGGGCCGCCGAGAGGCCCCCAAGACGCCCCAAACGGCCTCCAAGAGGCTCCCAAGAAGCCCGAAGAGGCTCCCCCAAGGCACCCAAGACGCTTCTCGAAGCCCCTGGGGCCGCCAAGAGGCCCCCAAGAGGCCCCAAAAGGTCTCCAAGAGGCTCCGCAAAGACATCTACTACTACTACTACTACTACTACTACTACTACTACTACTACTACTGCTACTACTACTACTACTACTACTACTACTACTACTACTACTACTACTACTACTACTACTACTACTACTACTACTACTACTACTACTACTACTACTACTACTACTACTACTACTACTACTACTACTACTACTACTACTACTACTACTACTACTACTACTACTACTACTACTACTACTACTACTACTACTACACGACTTACTACTACTACTACTACTACTACTACTACTACTACTACTACTACTACTACTACTACTACTACTACTTACTACTTACTACTTACTACTTACTACTTACTACTACTACTTACTACTACTACTACTACTACTACTACTACTACTACTACTACTACTACTACTACTACTACTACTACTACTACTACTACTACTACTACTACTACTACTACTACCACATCATCACGACTACTACTTCTATTACTACTACTAGTCCTATTACTGCTACTACCACGACTACTACCACTACTACTACTACGACTACCTACTACTCTACTACTACTACTACTACTACTACTACTACTACTACTACTACTACTACTACTACTACTACTACTACTACTACTACTACTACTACTACTACTACTACTACTACTACTACTACTACTACTACTACTACTACTGCTACTACTACTACTACTACTACTACTGCTACTACTACTACTACTACTACTACTACTACTACTACTACGACGACGACGACGACGACGACGACGACGACGACGACTACTACTACTACTACTACTACTACTACTACTACTAGTACTACGACTACTTCGAAATCCCACCAGCCCTTTGGGCGTGAGTGGTTTAGGGAGCTCTCTCTCGTGAGAGGTCCTTTCGCGGGTCGTCAGAGGGGTCTGTTTCGACTCCTGGGAGGGCTAAAAAACGACACCCCTCACGAGGATTCTGGCCCCGACGGGGGGAGGCAGAAAAATGCTCCCATCTTCTGTGAACCCAAAATCATTGATTTTACTACGGTTTTGGCCCCATGTTGGCCTTCTGAGGGGGCAGCGCTAATGAAAGCTCCCCTCTTCTTTCAAGCCAACATCATTGATTTTACTAAGGTTTTGGCCCCATTTTGGCCTTCTGAGGGGGCAGCGCTAATTAAAGCTCCCCTCTTCTTTGATCGATTTCCTCCAAGATGGCCCCAAGAAGCGCCCAGGAGGCACCAAGAGGCCCCAAGATGGCCCCAAGAGGCCCCCAGGAGGCCCCCAAGAGGATCCCAAACGGCCCAAAGAGGCCCCCCCGAGGCACCCAAGACGCCGAAAAGCCCATCAGGACGACCCTCTACTCGCCTGGGCGTCGTTTCTGGACGGGCAGGAGGAGGGGCCCGAACGACTCACACCAGGACGAGGGGCCCGAACAACTCACACCACGAGAAGCCCGAACGACTCACACCAGGACGAAGAGCCCGAACGACTCACACCACGAAGAGCCCGAACGACTCACACCAGGAAGAAGGGCCCGAACGACTCACACCAGGACGAGAAACCCCAAACGACTCAAACCACGAGGAGCGCTTTCTCTCCCTCCTCCTCCGCCTCGTCCTTCTCCCGCTCCCACCACAAGGAGGATGTACAAGGAGGCGGGAGGAAGGAGGAACAGGGGAGATATGCGGGGGCAGGCGGAAACACGCCTGAAAAACACGACTGTCGGCATGCTTCGCTAGAGTTGCTGTTTTGAGATGGGCTGGTGGGGATACGCGAAGCGTGAAGAATTCTCATCCGTCTTGGATGAGCCCGTTTTCGGGCGTTGGCGGGACTGGGTTTAGAGGGACCTGGTTTAGGATGTGTACCAAGGAAGGACCCCCCGCCCCATACTCCCATACTAATAACCAGAACTGCCATCACCCAGCAAAACACCAAAACACCAGCTACGGCAGACTTGGTCTAGTGATCCGGGCAAATTGTTTGGGCTTAGGGGCCCAGCAACCAACCTGCTCCCCTTACCCGGGGTCCTGTTTATATCCAACATTTACCCTACCACGTGTTGCAGAAAGATTGGGCGCGTCCCTGGGTAATTATTGAGTGGCCGTACCTCTCGGACCAAACATGACTACTGCGCCATGTCTACGGTCGGGAATTTGGAACTTTTGCAGAGCGTGTCGCCACGGCGCCTTCTGTCGCACGCTATGCCATGCGAGCGGATAGGGTGTCCCTCCGCTCTGCGGGGCGGGAGGATCCGAAAAGCTCGGGAAGTGGACGCTCGGGGACCAGGAAGTGCATAACGTGTCGCGCCGCAGCGCGGCTGGCCAGAACCAGCGGAGCGACACGTTATCCAAATATTCCCGACCTGGGGAAACCAACAGGTACCGGTACTTCTACTCTCTGGACCTCTCCCGGGCGCGTTCTGACCAGGACTTCGAGGCGAATCCAATGGTGGCGACGAGGGCCTCCCAAGAGGCCCAAAAAGGGGATAACGATGACAGGGTAGCGGTATGGGTACCTCTCTCCCCTCTGAGGAGCGACGCGCGATCCAGAAGTTCCCGACTGTAGCTGCCGTCCACCCAAAAACACACGGCTAACCAAGAGAAATCGCTGACGCACTGACCTGGGTCAATGCAAACCTGGGTCCGTCGGGCTTGGCAGGCTGCAGGATCCCGCAGGATCCTGCAGGATCCTGCGCGCTGACCTGGGCCAATGCACCCCTGGCTCTGCAGAATCCTGCACGATCTGGCGCTCTGGCCGACCCCCGTTTGCATTGTGGAGGGGGAGGAGGAGGAGGAGAAGGTGGAGGAGGAGGAAGAGAAGAAGAAGCAGGAGGAGTAGGAGCAGCAGGAGGAGGAGGAGGATGTTCACGCAGAACTGCAACGAAGGGTCAAAGTGCGAAGGTGACTGCACACTTGTGGTGAACGGTTGTCGTGATGGTATATCGGGGGCGAGCAAGCAAGGATTAGCGATCCATGGATTTGGGGCGCGGTCGCCAAATCCATGGATCGGGGGAGATGCCCTCCCCCAAATGCGGCCGGTGCCGCCTCGCTCGGCGGCGGAAATCTGCGATTAGCCATGGAAACGGGACCCGTCGCTAATCCACGCCCCCTTACAGTCGGGGCGTTGACCTAAGGAACCCTAAACAAGGAACGAGGCCCCTTTTTTCCATAAGTTGAACTTCGATTTCCGATCGAAAACATAAGGAAAACCTGAGGCAAGCTGCGAAACACTTAAGGAACGCGGAGCCCCTCCCCAACCAATAGAGTTCCTTCTTCAGGGCCCCGACTGTAATCCATGTCTGCGATCGCATGAGCATGTGCAAAGACTGGCGGCGCTGGCATTCTTCGCAGGCTCCCGGACAGCGGCAGCGGAAGAGCTCGGGGCGGCGGCCTGCTCTGGCCCTCGCCGTCGGAGATCACGAAGTACGGCACGCCGCTGATCTGTCGGGTGGGGCACGCGCCGGGCCGCGACCTCTGGCAGGTGCTCGTCAGCTCCCCCGTCGCCTCCCACCCCCAAAACGTTCTCAGCGTCGCGCCCCTCTGCTAGAGTGACTGCCTGCCAGACCACCCCAACCCAACCCGAAGACCCGATTTTCGGGAGGGGGGCGTACGGGTTCCAGATGTGTTCTTGTCCATGTTCCCCGACACCCCCACACTGGAAATGGAGGCTAAATTGAGGCCTTCGGGTTGGGTTGGGGTGGTTCGGTGGGTGGTCATAGGGGAGGGAACAGAAACTGCATGCACAGAAACAGTCAACGGGACGCGCGGACTTCTGGGGTCCACGCTGGACCCCCTCCCTGGCACGCGGGACGCGCCGGATCCAAGGAACCTGCGCGGGCCGTCGAAGGTTTATGCTCACTATGCCTTTCTTGTTCGATCTGCAGCTTCGCCCGTCGCCCTCATCTGCCAGGCCATTCGTTCTCTCGTCATCTTGCTCCGCCTCGAGCCCCCCTCCTCCTCCTGCTCCTCCTCCTCCCCGTGCTTCTTCAAGCTCCTCCCCTCCGGGCTCGCAACCAGTTACTCGTACGTGCGCCGACGACGCCATGCACCCACCCCGTCCACCGCATAGATCGTCTGGCCCAGCACGACGTGCGTTTCAAGCATGGGGAGGCCCGCTGGAATGGAGACAAAGACCCACAGAAACGACAATGGCGAGCAGAGAAACGGGGAGGAAGGCAGATCGAGACGAGAAATGGGACAACTGGGACTCGCTCGCCCTCTGGGCGTTGGTGATTTAGCGACTTCGGATACCCCCTGCTTTCCCTTCGGGGAGGTGGTTACCTCTCCCCCTTATCCCCTCCCCTGGGTCTGGACGAAGGGTTTCCCGAGGGGTGAGAGCGTCCAAGATCGCTCAAGACGGCTCCAAGACGGCTCTGTTGCCTCCAAGAGGACTCAAAACATCCCAAGATTCTTTCCAGCATGCCTCCAAGCTGCCCCAAGACCGCTGCAAGACGACTACAGGTGGCCACGGGGCTGCCCAAGGAGGGTCTCGAGACCACAACCCATCTTACACAGTTTGCTCACTCGGGCTTGTCTTCTCGCGCTTTCGCTCCCGATGAGCTTGTGGTGCACTACGACGGCCCACAGATGACCCAAGAAGGCCCCAGGAGGGGCCCATAAGGGCTCCCAGGCGGCCCCACGAGCGCCCCAGCGCGACTCAAGAGTCAAAGATGGCCCCGAGACCGCCCCCTTCGCTTCAGCGGTGGATGGGCCAAGAGGGCCGCCGAGGCCGTCAAGGGGGCCCCAAGAAACCCCCAAGAGGGCTCCGAGAGCTTCTCACAGTGTTCCAAGAGGGCACCACGATGGCTCCATGAGGCGCCCAGAAGGTTCCCGCAGCGAAATATACGTGAAGGCATGCATTGATGACTCCTGTCGTCGTGGTCGTCGTCGCCGATCGTTGTTGTTCCGTGCCCTTCGTATTCTTTTCCCACCAGCCCTCGGGGCGCAGGTGGCTTAGCGAGATCGGTAAGTCACCCCCCTTCTTAACCTTTGCCGCGAGAGATTAGAGCGTCCAAGGTGGTTCCAAGATGGCCTCACAGAGCCCAAGGTGCCCTTCAAGCTGACATACACAATGCACACTGGCGCAGGACGGCGTCCAGCATGCCCCCGGCCCCAAGACGGCTTCAAGTGGCAATCGACCCTCCCACGGATGCCCACGAGAGCCCATCGTCAATCAGACGGACCGCTCTCCAGCCGAGCCCCCAGAGATGCCCATGGGGGCTCCAAGACGGCCCCAAGAGCACCCAAGATCGCCCCGAGAACGCTCTCTGAACTGCCTCCTCCTGCTCCTCGTTCGGCAAGGCCGCGGAAACATATCCGTCACCGTGCCTGAAGTATGTGGGCGCGGTAAATTGCAAGGTGCTGCTCTGCAGGGCATTTTGCGTGCCACTATTTGCGTGCCACTAAGGGACCCCCCCCTCCATTCGCAGACAGGGGCACGCACACCCCTTGCTCCCGAGGCCACGATCGCTGACAAAAAATTGGGCCTGCGCTCCCGAGGCCAACGTCTCTCAAGAATACGCTGCGTCGGCGTCCCGAGCTTCCAAGACAGCACAGGCAGGCAACCAAGATAACCAAGATGGCCCAAGATGCCTCGAAGACGGGCCAAGATGTCCCCAAGGCAGACAAGCATGGCCTCAAGACGGCCCACGATGCCTCCAAGAGGACCCAAAAGCATCCAACAGTGCTCGAAGACGCCAAACAACTTGATGTCCTTATGATGCCTGACTGATGGTCGCATTCTCTCCGATTCGGGCGTCCGTCAACTCAAGACGGCCCAAAAAGCATCCACGATGGCCCTAAGACCGCCCCAGAGGCCCCCGCCCAAGAAGGCCCTACGAGGGCCCAAGGGGCACCTAAAACAACCCATTACGGCCCAAGAGGGCGTGCCGCGGGACTCAAGGCGACACTGGAAGGCCCTTTGACTGCCCACGACGGCGCCAAGGCGGCCCCAGACGGCCCCCAGGCACCCAACATACGGCTAAGAGGGCCCCAAGACAGCCCCAGAGGGCCCCAACGACTGCCAAGCCTGCCTTACAGGCCGAGACAGCAACCAGACGGCCCAAACGAGTTCCATGAGAGCTCCTCAAATAGTGAAGACAAAATTTGTCACATGTGACGGCCGTCCTGTCCCTCCTCCTCATCCTCATCCTCCTCCTCCTCCTGCTCCTCCTCGTCATCCTCCTCATCCGCCTCCTCCTCATCATCACCATCACAACTCTCCCAAGCCTGGAGGCACGCGGTGTCACACGTGACGGCCTCCCTTGCCCCCCCGCGACAGGCGCCACGCATAATGCTAGGCTAGCACGGTGGCGGGACTTGCCGTAGGCAGCTGGATATGGTGCACTCCTGGGTCTGCTCAGGTTGAACCCAAACTTAGGTTTGATGGTTCCCCTTTTTTCCATGCATGCTCCTTCATTTATCGTTCCTGGATCGGCTGGTGGGGATACGTGAAGCGGCAAGAATGAGTGGAGAAAATGCTGCAAGTGGACGGTTTGGAAAAGATTCCAACAAGCGGCCTGATTATTGGGCTGAAGTGCAGGCCATAGACGGGGAGGTTAGAGGAAAAGGGAATGTTTGAACACCTGTCAAAATGTGACGAACGACCTGGATGTTGAACCATGGTCTGTGCCGGAAAACTTCTCACACTTGTATTTAACAAAAAAAACCTGTAGAACATGCTTCAAGACGAAGCCGCAACGCTGCATCACCCTCTCGGTAATGCCAAGATCAGGCGGTGAGCTTGTCGTAAACCTCGCGGATCTTCATGGCGATGATAGCCTGAAGGAGCCCAGTGCCGTTCTGCGAACCAGGGCTGTCCTTAAGCTTGACCATCGCATCCGTGAGCTCGCTGGGACTGCGGCCATTCAGACCCTCGATGTTGGCCTCGATCTCGGCCACCTGCTCGGCCATGTTGTCCATGTCGATCTCTCCGTCCATCTCGATTACGCTCACTGGGCTGCCGTACCAATCGTCATCGTACTGCTTGATAGTGGCGCCCGGCTTGCTCCCAGTGAGGGACAGCTCCTTCTTGAGCGAGATCGCCGGGAAAGCGCCACCCTTCTTCTGGATGAGCTTGACCTTGAGGTAGGGCAGGCCCTGGTCGGAGGGCTCGTAGCGCAGGACCACGTCGGCGTCCTTCTTTTGCGGGTCCACGTATTGGGCGAAGTCGGGCAGCCTCTTCTCGATATCCTCCCTGACCTGATCCTCGGTCCAGCCGCGCTCGGCTACGTCGCGCTGGATCTTCCAGGCGAACTTGACGTCGTTGACGATGTCGATGTAGAGTGCCATGTCGAGGTTAGCACGCGCCTTCTCGTCGTAGATCGGGTGGAGGCCCTCCACGACGAAGACCTTGTTCGGCTGGATCAGCTCGGGGGGGTCCTTGTTGCCGGTGTCGTGGTTGTAGATCGGCTTGTAGATGGCCTTGCCCTGCTTCAGGGCCTCGATCTGCGCTCCCATCAGCGCGAAGTCGTTCTCGCGGGCGTCCAGCGCGCTCAGAGAGGTCGCCTTGCGGCCGGCGCGGTCGTTGATGTGGTAGTCGTCCAGGCAGATGACCGTCAGCATGTCGCCGATGGCCGTGTGCCCGGGCTTGACCTCGGTGCCCAAAGCGCCGAGCACGCGCCTGAGGAACGTGGACTTGCCGCAGCCGGAGTCCGCGGCCACGCCGATCATCACTGGCGCCTGCGCCGGCTTGCTCTCGGCCTCGAGGATGGGCACCATGTCGTCGGTCCAGGCGTGGGTGGAGTACAGCTTGATGCCGTCCACCTCTGGAGGAACAGAAAACAACATAGACATGAACTTTCCGAGGTCCCGCGGGCGTCTTGCATTTGGGCTGGTTGGCGGCGCGCACAAGGGGGTGGAGGGAGGGGGGGGGGGCTTCTTAGAAGGAGGCTGCTTCTTAGACGGCGCCATTCTTGCATCTGTAGGCAAGGCCCGCGACTTCTAAGACGCAGGGGTGCTTCTAAGAAGCCCTCCCCCCTCCCCCCACCCCCCTCTGCGCGTGGCTGAGCTGGAGCCCCCTCCCTGGCGCGCGGAGCACGCCAGAGGCGCCGCCGCAGGGGGGCCGGCGCCGATCCGAGAACTCCGCGCGGAGCTCCGAGTGTTTAGAGTCATGCCATCCTTGCTCCTCTAAAATGAAGTCGAGGATTGAGTCGGGCCTGTCCCCCCACAGGGGGGTTTTCGACGAAAAATGAAAAAATACCCCAACAATAGTGAAACATAGTCCAACAATAGTCTGGGGACTAGTTTCTAATTTTTGTGTTACCTTTTTGGAAGATGTTTTGAGTATTTTTGATTTTTCGTCGAAAATCCCCCTGTAGGGGGACACGCCCGACATAACTCAAGAAGCCACCCAGAAGGGGTGAGAGTAGATGGGGTCCGAAGAAGGCCCAGCATCGTCAGTGCATCAGCGCGATCCTTCGACCCCACCTGCTCAGACCCTA